TTGAATTTTCGTCGATGTTAAGCCTAACGAAGACTATTGTATCGTTAAAAATTATTTTTTTATTTTGTACGAACAAAATAAATATATTGAAAAATATACAAACAATAAAAAATTATACTTCAGAAATTAATTTAGTATCAAAAACGTAAAATATTTGAGTAGCCCAAGACATAGCCAAAGATTGCAGCGCCACAGCACTGGCGAAAATTTAAATTTGCCGACTGGAATTCTTTCGGATTATTGACTTTCGGATAATCGACGCTCTGCTGTATATACAATATTTAGATAATGAACTTTAAATGTATTCTGAAATATGAACCTTGGTGAGACATTTTATTACTTTTATAATAATAATAACATAATATTACCACTCAAAACTTGTACTTGAATTATAAACTCCATTGCTGGATTATAGGTTTTTAGAGTTTTTAACAACAATAATAACATTTTATAATTCTAATATTTTGTTTCGTACAATGATTATTTCATTCTTGATATTGTTATGATGACTTTTTATTCAGCCATTTGCCAGCATTCTCCAACAAAGCCCGTTCTTATCTTTGTATCGTCTAGACGTCAGACGAGACTGACTGCACTTGATTTAATTGCTTTCTTGGCAGCAGACAATAATCCTAGGCAATGGATTAATATTGCAGAAGATGAGGTATTTCAAAGTTCATTTAATAAATATATGGATTTTTGAACAATTTTTTCTTACATTAAAAATTTAAAATGATCTTTTTGTATTATTAGATGGATAATGTATTACAAAATGTTCGTGACCAAAACTTGAAACTTACTTTGTCATTTGGCATCGGACTTCATCATGCTGGCCTTCATGAACGAGATCGTAACATTACGGAAGAATTATTTGTTAATCAAAAAATACAAGTAAATTGTGAATTACTTAAATATATTTTATATACAGTAAGGAATTATAAAAATTAATACAAACAATTCTTTCAAATGTTTATATTATTGATTTATCATATCAGATTTTAAAAATGTACATTAAGATGTAGATAAATGATTCTGATATGGATTTAACAACATACTAAAAGTTTTATAATAATAATTATTATTATTTTTTATTATATACAGTTAGTTTTTAATTATTTGATTACCCAAGAGAACATTAGAACTAGAAAATATTTAATGACATTTTCAGAATCATATATTTCGGTTTTAGATCTACATTAATACACAAATTTGAACTGATAAAATACAACATTAACTGCCATATGCAAATAAAGTGGCATATGTTTGAAATTTAACTATTTAGAAAACAAGTTTTTGAAAAAATTTATCCTGGCTTCTAAAAAAAGTATTAAATATTTTCTGGCTAATTTATTGAAGTATTTTTAATAGTTTTTTTAATGTATAAATTTGAACTTAACTAATAGAATTGATGAACTTATTGAAGATAAATTGCCTTAGAACTAAGATAAACTGTAATAGTTAAAGATTTTTTGTAATAAAATTTATTAATTGAAAAAATTATTTCAAAAATAATTAATTTTTTTAAAGTTGGTTTGTATCATAAATATGGAATTTTTTCTTTAAATTATAACAGGTATTGATAGCCACGGCAACTCTCGCTTGGGGTGTAAACTTTCCTGCACACTTAGTTATAGTAAAAGGCACCGAATATTTTGATGGAAAGATTCAACGATACGTCGATTTTCCTATTACTGGTAATATTTCAATTATTAATTATAGATAATTTTGATTCTAATATACATTCAATTAAACATTACTTTGAAATTAATGTTATATTGTCAAGTTAATGGACAAAATAATCTATACATATGTTGAAGCTACATTATTACATTAAATATTCTTGAAAACTATATAAACCCTTAAGATATTTTATTTCTTAAATGATTCATTTGAGAAATTTAAATGCAAATTTTTAAAAAATCTATAAATTTAAGAATTAAGGAACTTTAAAGAAAGTTAAAAATACCTTCAACATTAATAGGTAGGGCATTAAACATTAAAAAAGGAAGGGCAGACATTATAATGAAAAGATGCTATTTTATAAGAAATGATGATGATGATTATGATGATTTTCAGATGTTCTTCAGATGATTGGTAGAGCAGGACGTCCTCAGTTTGACGAACACGGTGTTGCTGTTGTTCTAGTTCAAGATATTAAAAAAGCTTTTTACAAAAAGTTCCTCTATGAGCCTTTTCCTGTTGAATCTAAGTAAGATTTTTTTAAATGCTACATTATTAATCTGTATAAAAATTTTTAAAAAAGAGCTTTCATTTTATTTTTTATATACTTTTTGGTAATGTTTTAAAATTTTATAATAAAGTTCCTCATTATTTTATTTAAAAACATACAGCAAATTTAAATATGTAAAGCATACAAAAATATACAAAAGAAAAAACAATAAATAAATTATAATTGGAAAAGATAGATAAAGGATGAAAATGTTAAAACAATGATTAAAAAAATTGCCCATTAAAACAAGCTTAGCTTCGTAAAACCTGTATATGCAGGATGGATAGCGGAGGCTGTTAAGACATTGGCCTACAACTGGAAACTCTGAATAGAGTCCTGGCAGTCAAGAAGCTCCAGGAATTTTTCCTGGGGCATTCTGCAAACATCAGACTCTTTCCCTCATCATACAACCTCTCTGTTATAAGTCTGGTTGAACCATGATGGGAATGAAAAAGCCCTCTTAATGTCCATGAGACAAAAAGAGTAAAAGATGAAAAAAATCTACATGCAGATTAATATTAAACTATTATTTAAGTTTATTTTTTATAATTAATCTTATAAGTTCAGTGTAAATGGGAAAAATTGTCCCTTGTTTTTAATAAAAGCCTTGAATGGCAGAAAGTTTAATAAATGTAATTAATATTTATATTATGTAAACTTAACAATTAGCTATAGGACAAATTTTTATTAATTTATACATATAATCTTAATTTTTTATGTTAAAATCTGTAAAATTAGCTAATTGGAGTTTGACATATTTCATTGACTCCTCACAAACAAATCATAACTGTATGTGATGTAATGGTATTTGGTTGGTTATATGTAATGTTTCAACAATTAACGATGTATTTTACTTTGAAATTAGTTAACAATTCTTTTTCAGAATCATTTTTTTGGAAATAGTTCTAATCTTTCTGCATGTATTTTCTAAAAAGTATTTGTTAGAAATGAAAGCATTTTGAAGCTCTTATGTAGTTGAGAATTAGCTGTTATCTGTGACTTCGCCCACAGGGGTTTTGCAAGCAAACCCCATTTATAATCAGTATTTCAACAACCATAGTAATTGTTATATAACACCTATCACTGAGAATGATGAGAATTGTTGAGAATCAAATGAATGAGTTTCAATTTGTAAACGTTCCAGAAAATTGATCAATCATTCTATAATTGAACCAATAATCAATAACAAATTCAAATTTAGAACAGTTTGAACATTTGGTTAAAAAATCAAAATATAAAAAAATTTGTAACAATGTCTGAAATGTTATCAATTTAATACATCTAAGTACTCAATGAAAACTAAACATAGTTAAAAAACAAAACATTGCATCTAAAATATTACAGTAGAAGCAGTTCTTCAGGTTAAGCCTTAATCCTCTCCATATCCCCATGGGGGTTTTCGAAAAATCCCTTTTTAGTGTGCATTTTCATGACACACCCTAATTGTGTACAAAATTTCACCTCTAGGTTCAGTGGTTTGCTCTAGGTGATGATGAATCAGTGAATCACCCAGTTAGTCAGTCAGGACAAGTAATTTTATATATTTAGATTAAAATAATTTGTAGAAATTCAACTTTTTATGCAAAGTATCTACATGCTGATTAATATTAAATTATAATTGTTATCCTATAAATCCTATAACGGAAATGTACAATGCCATAATATTGTAAATGCCATTTTTCTCTAAAAACATTTTATTGAAGAAATTAATTCTAAATGCAATGTTTTCTGCTGCAAAAAAATATAGTGGCTGCATTTTGAAGTTGGATTTATGCAAAGCCGTAATATTTAAAGTGCAAGTCACATGATGGCTTATATTTACATCATTTTGATATTCCAGAGAATTTTTAACTTAGTGAGTTTTTTACCATTTTATTGTAAAATTGAAATAAATTCATTCACTAGAAAGTGTTTTTTTATCTCTCCTGAAAAGTTTTTTTTTTTTGGTATTTACAACATTATGGCATTGTGTGCTTCAATTATGCAGTTACTTTGCTTAGAAGTTAATTTTATTAGTATATGGATAATATAATATGTTATAATTGTTATAATAATAACTATTTATTTTTACAGTTTATTAAAAGTTCTTCCTGATCATTTAAATGCTGAAATTGTAGCTGGAACGGTGACAACTAAGCAGGAATGTATCGACTATATAACTTGGACGTATTTCTTTCGCCGTCTTCTGAAAAATCCAACGTAATTTAATTGTTTAATTTACTTAATCTGCATTACCGTTTTACTTCAATTTACTTCAATTTAATTTAATTTTCAGGTTTTACAATCTGGAAAGCACAGAACACAATTCTATAAACAGATATTTATCTGGTTTAGTAGATCGTTCTTTAAGAGAATTGGAAATAGCATCTTGTGTAGAAATTGGAGAGGTTTGTAAATAATAAAATTTTTTTTAAAATATTAATTTATACATTGAAAATGGAAGATCCAAAATAATTAAGAGGAAAATATTTAATTTAAAAACAGATAAAGCAGAATTTGAATTAACATTTTTATTAATAAACAGAATTGTTATCCATGATTACAATAAGCACAGTCTACTGTATTATGTTAGATTGGCCATTTCAATAATGCCAATAACAGTTGAATTATATCTGCATTACCATGAATTACAAAATATAACATTTAACAGAATAATCTGTTCCACTTCAAAGAAGCATTACACAGATCGTGCTTGCATGATATCTATGCCTGAGGTTGCAGCATAGTTATAAAACAAAAAGAATAATTAATGTTACATTAGTTTACTGTATATTCCGGCGTATAAGACGACCCCCAACTTTTACAGTTAAAATATAGTTTCGGATATACTTGCCATATAAGACTATCCATCTTCCAACGCACACCAAATAAAAAAAAAATCATCATTGGCATACTCTTTAATGCTTTTTCATTTGCTTTCCAGTCCTGAACCATCTTTTCTGCTACTCCATATTGTCTTGCAGCAGCACAGTTATTATGTTCCATGGCAAAATTTACAACTTTAAGTTTGAAACTGGTTTCATATTTCATTCTTCTTGCTGGTGGAGCCATGATGGGGTTTTGACTGTTGGACATTTTTATACCAGCCTGTCCTTGTATCCTATTACCATACCTCCTCCTCTGCCTCTCAGATCTTGAACATGTTCGCCTGTGCCTCTTTACTGCAGTCCTCAGGAGCAAGATCTGAGAGGCAGAGAAAGAGGTACGGTAATAGGATACATACAAGGGCGGGCCAGACAGGTGAAAGATAGAGCCGCTCTATCTCTACCCATACCCTGGACATCCTGGCCGACTGCAGCACCCGCCCTATAAGATGACACCAGACTTTTGAGAAGATTTTCCTAGATTAAAAAGTCGTCTTATACACTGGAATATACAGTATATACAAGCCTCTCATTTGCCAAATCGATTAGCGATTATTGATTAGCATAGAATAAAAAGTAGAGAAATTGCTAATATACTGTGTTATCTTTTAAAACTCCTTTTAAACTTTAAGTAAACACTATAGAATATATTTTTAATTTAATTTCATTATTATTGTTAAATATAATAACAATTCGTCCAAGGATATACAAATGGAGTTATTTGATTTGGCATGCAAATGGCTTACACGTATCTGTGTTTTGGCTAACTCAGAAGCAAATACACGAAACAATGCCAAATGAAGCTATGCAATCTTCCTTTGGCTATTTAAGAATGTTTCTCAAAAACGTTTACCAAAAACTACATTATCTTATAATGTAATAACTTGTGAAAAAGCTTTGAAAATTCAAAAGATATGCAACATTCAATAAGCTATATGGGTCAAAATGACCCATATGGCAGTTTTAGTGTTTTAATATAGATTTTAAATTATATTTACACATTAAATTTTTGATAGATAACAACATATTACAATTTTTGTATTTTCAATTGTACTTAAGCATCTTAAAATTTAACAGGACAACAGAGAAATTACTTCAACTGTCCTCGGCCGAATTTCGTCATATTACTATTTAAGTTATAAAACAGTCCAGATGTTTCAAGAGAACATGAAGAATGGCATGTCCATGGAACAGCTGTTGAAAATACTCACTGATTCTGAGGAATATGACGAGCTTCCAGTTCGACATAATGAAGATGCTTTAAACAGGTATGTTGCCATAGAAATATAGTAAGGCATTCAAAATCTGATACCTGTCATTTTAAAGATGCATTATCTTATAGTATTCTTATTGGAAGCAATTATATGTTGTACAACTGAGGCCTTTCTCGTACTAATTTAAGTGAAAGAGACTTTTGGGATAACCGATAATTAAGAATTAAGAAATATCGTAACTGAGTACATGTGAAGTAATATTAAAAAACTGAAAATTGATTTTTAAGCAACTTTTTTCTGCTGCTTTCTCTTTCATAAATCCCAATATAGTTTTTGATATTAGAATAAGATGGCCATTCTAATTTAATGCGTATCTCAAAAATGCTATAAGCATGCCGTAATCTGGTGTTATCGGTGGGTATAACACGAATGCAAGGTCGAATCTTTGACAATTTTATGACTATACAATCCAACTCGTCTTAGTATTGGTGACAAGTACCATTTATAAGCATTAACAATCCATCAATATATGAAAAATAAATCTGTTTTCTTATCGAACATACCCATTGAAGATTCATAACAATTGAAGTGACATTTCCACAAGTGAAATAGTTGACAAAATTGTGGAAACGAAACTATATTTCTGTTCATGGATAACTCCACATTGATAATTGTGTAAGCATTTGTGAAAGTTTATGATGTGGTTCAACAGAATTTTTATTTATTTATTAATTTTATCTCAATTATGCACTCAGCAACAAGGTCTCTTACAGTTGGTCAAGTGTTTGTGATGAAATTTTAAACTAAATTTTGATATACTCATTTTTTGTGAATATTTGGTGCATATTTTATAGAATAAAACATTATTCTATAAAATCTCATTTTGATTAATTAATACAGTCGACCCCCTATAAGATACAGATACGTTCCATTCTCTAGGAATCCGCTTTCTTACGAATCCTTCCAATCACAACCCGACACGTGTCAAGTTTACGGACTACGGCTGTTTGAAAGATTTTCTTCCATAAAATTAATCGATTCTAGACTAATCCGACTCAACATTTCCAAAATACGTATATATTTTTTGGGAATAATCCGTATAAACTACGCTATAAACAAAAAATTGTAGGATTACTTACCGAGTGTCACCATTCGACATTGCCATTGCTCAACATTGTTTTCGTCGCGGAACAGCTCAGCAAAGAGCGGCCGATTTCTAACAACTTATTTTTCTGTGAAAACTTCGTAGAACTTCGGAGACATCATTAATATAAATAATTTTAATCGCCGTTGAATAAGAAATGTTTCTTTCACAAGAAATGTATAAAATTACAGTACTGTATTAGACTTACGGTACCTAATTTACATACTGACAGACGATAGTTAGCGTAAAAATCTCCGTAGCGTGGCGCCACGCTAGACGGCGGAAATTATATATTTAATTATAACAAAGTTACAATAAGTTAATATATAATTATATATACAGTACCTAATTTATATATAATTAATATATAATTATATGTACAGTACCTAATTTATATATAATTTATATAATACTGTCCAGACGATAGAAATCTCTCCGTAGCGTGGCGCTACGGACGGCGGGAAAGTAGTTCGGCTTCCCGATGACGTTTGAGGTGTTTATAGGGAACTTTTACTATTTTTTACGGATACCGGTAGCAATTTTTTCGTAGTTTTATAGGAATCGTAACTATAGGGACCGTAATTATAGGGGGGTCGACTGTATTTCATATAAATATTAAATGCCTTTATCCGAAAATAAAATTTTTGTTTGTATTATTTAAAATTAGAGTAATAATACTAAGATGCTAATATGACATTATGCATTTCCTTTTCCAAAAGTTATTTGAATAGAAAATTTTATTTTGTAGTGATTTGGCCAGCAATTGTCCGTTAGAAGTGGACAAATACACGTTCGACAGTCCTCACACTAAAGCTCACCTACTGTTCCAGGCGCACTTCGGTCGTCTGCAGTTACCCTGTTCAGACTATCTAACAGATTTAAAATCTGTTCTGGATCAAGCTATTAGAATTTTACAGGTAAGTATTGAAAGTAAAATTAATAAACATGATTCACCAACACAGTTTATTGTTTAATTAATCAATTCCGTTACCAGAAAGTGGGAAGTAAATATTGCGCGTTGGCAAAATTCAAACACTTTTTAATTTTTGTGTATATTATTTTTTTGTCATAGTCTATGATTGACATTTCTTCTGACCAAGGATGGCTTCCAACTTCGCTCCAGACAATGATTCTGTTACAGATGACTCTTCAGGGAAGATGGCATAATGATAGTACTTTACTCACACTACCTCACATCAATAGTACAAATCTCTACTGCTTTGGGTAATTTATATTTTTCCAATAAATTTTAGATTAAAATGGTTTCTGGAAGATTGCTAATCAAATACACATAATATGCTAGACCTATATAATGCCTTTATTATTTTACTACCAATTTTGAAGTTACTTCGTAGTTTTGAACTTTGTCAACATAGGATTTCATAAATATTAATAATTTTAATTTGTCTTTTCAGTAAAATATACCCAAATACCATCACCGGGCACCACGAAGTTTCTTCTGTTGAATGCCTTCCTGAACTGATTGCCTACGTCAGAGGAGAATACGAAACTCTCGCTTGTATATTAAGGAAAGAGTTAGAGGAGAATCAAATCGAACAGGTAATAATAAAACAATGGTGTTAGAAGTAGATATTTGGACAATAATCAGCAAGCAATTTTGTTGCCAACCAACATCCGAAATAGTTTTGGCCTGTCTACTAGAAGGACCCAGGTTAGATCTGGCAATCTTGCCCAGACATATCAGACTCATGATTTTAGAGGTCCATGATAGAAAAGCCAAACTTTTTTAACACAAGTTGGAAAACAAATGCTAATTTCTCTTCAAATCTCTGTCATCTTATTTAATAATAATTACAGTAGTCTAAATTTTAGACTACTGTACTGTGTAAATATGATCTAAAATGTTTGGTAAAATATTTGCATAAATTTTACAGAACATTTTAGATCAGTGTTTCTCAACGGGGTCGATATCGCCCCCATGTGGGCATTTTTCCATGTTGAGGGGACGATTAGTAACAACTTATATTTTGGGGGTCGAAAAATAATTTTCTGGGCGATATAGTAAAACATTATATTAAGAATAATTAGATATTTTATTCGTTATATCGTATAATAATTAAAAAAACAACATTAAACTAGTCACTAGTCTATTCAATGCAGTATGAATTTGGCGTTAGCCTTGGCCCTCGGCATCGGAATTTTGAAGTGAAGGGGGCGATACTACGTTGAAGGGGGCGATGATTCATTAGAGGTTGAGAAACACTGTTTTAGATCATATTTCCATTAAAGGAACTGCATATATTTTTTTGCTTTTCAATAATCTCTTGTATATATGTATACACAGGAAAGTCCATTCACCCTTATAACTTCCAAACCACATTACTACTGAAGACCACAGAAGTGACCTTGAACGATAAATGTGATTTTAGCATCCCATGTGGCAAAATATGAAACTGGAGAAAATTAACTCAAAGATTAATGGAGTTAGGCAAAAAAAGTCCAAACTCCATTAATTTTTGAGTTAATTTTGTATGCCATTAGCCCACAAAGTTACTAACTACTTTCATGGCACAACAACGGTTTAGGTTATAGGGTGAATGGGCTTTCCTTTGAACCCCGTTTAATTAACATATAATACACAAATTACATTTCTGGGAACACCAAAAGGAGAAGAATGGTTTCCATCAACTACCATCAAGTTACTCTATTAAAATAAATTGACTTGTCTGCAATTTATAATGTTTCAAATTAAAATTTTGCATAAAAGGCTACTTTTGGCAGCATATGAATTAATTCTGTGGCTTAGAATAAGGGTCAACATCACAGGGCCACAAAATTCTTTTCACAATTACACCACTATCTTTCTACAAATTAATTTTTTTGTGTATATTGTCTGGAACCAACTTTGGCTTAAATTGCCAGGTTATTTTTCTAGTGGCATTGAAGTTACTTTTTAATTAATGAGCAGTCAAGCTGCGTTAATTTGAAATTCTAGAAAAAGTCTACTCCAAATTGATAATGTAATAGTGGGCATGGCATTGTAATTATCTGACAAGATTTCTCAAATATAATTTAATCTAGCTGTAACAAAATTGTGGCATCTCGGTTTTGGCTCCTGACCAACACCATTCCGAAGAAGCCCACTGTGGAGATACTAGAGAAGTTGTGGCCATCGTATTCAGCCCAAAACGTGAATGGCAGACAGTTGAGTGTCGCCATCTGGCAATTCTAGACGGTCAATAATGGCGAATAGAAGATCGGTTTAAACTTTTCATTTTTTTGTGTCTGGAGTTAAAATTATGACCTATTTTATTAAAATAATTATTATTTAAACATTTACGAATAATGTTGTAAAGAAACAGACAATTTTAATACAGAAATTATTTAATTATTCAATTTTTTAGCAAGTGATGTGAAGTGCCTATAGAATTTACATATATTTGCCTTCATAATAGCTTATCTTAAGGGAAGTTTGTTCTTCCACAGCATATTCTACCATCAACAGCATAATACATTTGTAAATTTTCTGAAAATTAATTTTTCAAGCTGCTTTCGAATTTACACTACTTCCCTCGACAAAATGAGGTAGTCCTAGACTCGTCCAATCGTATGGTAGGAGACACCACGCTAATTAAAAATAATTATTTAGTGTTATTAAACATCCTATAAATACTTTAAAGTAGTTTAATTTGTTTATTTACCGTCGATGTTAAATGTATCTGCCATTTTTTCAATGAATTTCCTGTGAGTCAATGCACAACGCTCACTGAGTCATGTGATGTTGTGAACATGCACCACAATGATTTTTTTTTGGAGTTAAAATGTAAACAGTGTACTTCTGATTGCCATGTACAAGTAACGTTTGAACTTGCACCTCAACCTCTCTACTGTCTTTTGCTATAGATTTGGTACTAACAAAAACAAGATGGGGGAAAAACAATGACTGCAACTGTTAAGAAAATGGCAAAAGCCAACATAGCTGGAAAAGGTACAAATTGTGAATACCACCATTGCCGTAAAGCAAAATCTAACAAATAAAATGAAAGCTCTGGTTCAATTCATTCAATAGTATCATACGATGGCTCCTACAAAATTTTCGATTTATTTGCTTTGTTTTTTTTAAACTTTACTAAAATTTTTAAATGTCTAAAGTATTATTTTTCAAAATCTTAACCATGTTTTGTGTACTGTATTAAGAAAAACCATTAAAATGTTTGCTTTCAGATTTATGACACTTTGATGAAACTTCCAGTAATTAATGTGTCCTTGGCTCTTAAGGGATTTTGCGAAGATTCGGAAAAAGAAAGGAAACTGTTCATGGGACAAGTTGGTAAGGTGTTGATTTTAACTTCAGTCAGAACCATAATACAATCTAAGTTTGTGTTTCTTTCCACAGCAGGTACCAGATCCGAATCCCAGTGGATCGAAGTTCAGGTGGACAAGGAATATGTTCTGATGGTCAAACTGGAGAGGGAAAATAGAAGAAAGAAAGGAGAGACTAAAGCTTTGGCACCCAAATTTCCAAAACAAAAGGAAGAGGGATGGTTTCTGATTTTGGGTGATGTTGAAAAACGAGATCTGATTGCCATGAAGAGAATTGGATACGTCGGAACACAGTCTCGTCACCAGGTGAGCGATTGTTTGAATAATTAACACCAATTTTTCTCCCAATTAAATACATGAGTGGTCCTCAATTAATGCGATGACTACATTTGTCCATGGTAGTATCTCAGGATGAGAGAACCCTGCCACAGACACTAATAAGGGCCCTCTTAGTGCATACAGAGCAGAGAATCATCAAAAGTGAAATTGCAGCATCACTTGCAAATTGCAGGATCAGTAGAGATGACAGAAATATGCATCAGTTGAACTTTGGTAGAAGCATAGAAAATGCCTCAGATTTGATGGCAAGCCAAATACCACCAGTTAACAAGACCATAACTCAGAGCTGTGTACAATCCATGTGGCAACTGTGCACATCAAACAAACCAAGGTAACCTTGGTTTGTTTGATGTGTGTAGTTGCAATGTGTCACAGGACCATCTGCAAATATGCCAAAAAAGTTGTGGATCACACCAGCACACTTGTGTAGATTTGCCAAATGACCTGTTGGGACCCGTTCATCACTGCTGCCTGTCACCACCAATAGGTCATTCCACCCAAACTGTTCACAACAGGTTGCATGAAGTTGGACTGCATACACAGCAACCAGGATGCCATTAACTGCCCAATAAAGAGTTGCATGCCTAGCGTGGTATTGTCGTCGCCACAACCGGATCACAAATGGCATCGAGTATTGCTTATGGATGAATCTCACTTCTGTCTGTGGGGGAATGATGGCCGTGGCAGTATCCCAGGGAATATTACGTGCCAATCCTTTTCACCAAGTGACACACTGGCCATCATGTTTGATTGTTGGATGGTATCAGTAGTGCCCTTGGTTCAGCCACCAGTGTAGGCTGCACACTGCACATTTCACAGCAAACTCGCACCAGTCCAAACAGAATTGACGTTCTTCCTTAACTGGCAGCCTCTACAAATCCCATTGAACACCTGTGGGGTCACAGTGGATGCAGCTCGGTAAGGAATACCCTGTGCAATCATTAATTGGCTCGCTGCCTCTGTGAACCATATTCGTTACCAAGTAAACAGCTGTCTGTTGCATATCTCTGTCACCTCTACCGGTTCTGCAATGTGCATGTGGCTAGATTCATGGTGTTGCAATTTCACTTTAGAGGAGAGTAGAAAATTAAATCACACACTACTATTTTGGTAATTTTTTGATGATAATAGAAAATTGAGGACAATGTCATTATGCTTATATTTATAAAAATGAAGATAGAGTTGAAATTTAAGAGACTCCTTTAAATGAAATGCAAATAATTTAGACGGCTTGACACGCGTTTTCTAGAAATACAGTAATTCCAAAACCTAAATGGTTTTATAAAGGACAGATTCTGTGGCATGGTCCATTTCATTTGTTTGGATGTAGAAAACAGGAAATAATTGTGATTATAAAATAGGTTGTAATAATTTTGCACAGGAGGAGACATTCTGGCAAATATTAAAAAAAGCAGCATAAAAATTTGTAATTTAATCAACAAAAAAAATCTCAAAGTTTAGTTACATTAAATTTGTGGTGAAAGCAAAAAAATGGCAATTGATGCTAATTTGACATTGGGTGCGTTCATTAATAATGGTCGCTCTGCATCTCCACTACTATGGGAGTGTGCTGCTGTTTGTAGGCATTTAGGAACGATGGTGAAAGAAAGTGCGGGTGCCGCCATCTTTCTATCGATAATATCATGATGGAGGAATCTATGATTCTAAAATATGAGCTTTTAAAGGCAAAAGAAGGGTCCCAATTGTAAAATGTAACCATAAAATGGATTATTTGTTGAAATAGCATTCAAAATAGCAACGAAAAAAATTCGAAAAGACACTTACATCACCACGTGCACTAACTTGTGCTTTCACAACTTCTAAATTTTCATTCATAAAACCACATAATGGACCCCAAAACAAAACTATCTGAGCCATGGAGGATGCCATGTTGCTTTCCACTAAAAACTACTGCTAAAAGTGGCCATTTTTGCCATTCGACAGGGTGCACTTTGACTGGAATTTAGGAATACATTCCACGAGAATTTTTAAACGGATGTTGCTTGCGTGGAGTTACATGGAGGAGTAAAACAACGCACCCATTGTGTTGTAACTTTTTGAGATTATAGTCTTTGGAAAATCTCTATTTCAAAACATTTCTACGACTTTTTTACTTGCAGGAAATTTCTTTAAATCGATTACAGAAAAATTCCATACATAAAAAGGAAGGAACCTTGGAAGTTTAAGTAGAACAGTAGAACTAGAGAGGAAAATTTTTTTTCTGTTAGGCTGCATTTTGGCAAAAGGGATTGGAATTTGTACTTGCAACGCAGTTTAAGTGGAAAAGGAAAACTGTTTTTGTGCAAGAAATGCTCTAGTTTCCCCATGTCCTCCAAAGTTTGATCCATCAAAAAAAAAGTGTACACCCCAGGTGGCCATAAATAAAAGGAAAGAAATTTTTGTTTTTGTACGTGAATCCATAATTCAATTGTGTGTGGCACTTCCCACAGACACGTAAAATTTGTTGGCCTTGCATTCATGCAGAAGTGAGAAGGAAACTAGAGAGAAAATGGGGAGATCATTTCTGTAGGTGCAGGACCTCATGGCTGCATAAATGCAGCCATAGCTAGCCAGGGCAAAAGTGACAATTTTCTTGCAAAAATAAGCTTAGATAAAAGTTTAATGTGTATCATGCAATGCAGAATATCAGCATACCAAAATATAGTGTAGTAAGTACTTTTTTCACAGATTATCAGAACATTTTCTCCATTATACACAAGTAAACAAAATTTAAAAATTTATACATACAGTCAATCCCCTAATAACTTGGTAGATACATCCCGGTTTTTATGAGTCCAGCCAATCGCAGCCCGGTATGTATGCAGTTTACGGACTACGGCTGTTTGAAAGGTTTTCTTCCATAAAATTAATCGATTCTAGACTAATTCGACTCAACATTTCCAAAATACGTATAATTTTTTGGGAATAATCAATATAAACTATGCTATAAACAAAAATTGTAGGATTACTTACTGAGTGTGCACCGTTCAACTACGCCATTGCTTAAGCTTGTTTTCGTTGTGGAGCTTGTCATTGAATGGCACTTGTGTGCTTCCTGACAAAATTATTGTTTTTGCAAAACATTCGCTGAACTTTGGAGACATCATTAATATAAATATAATTTTTATGGACGTTAAATAATAAATGGTTTTTAGAAGGTCCACTGCTCGTTTAAACTCAACGGTTTGTGCAATGTCTGCTATTGGTCTAGATTCAACCAATAGCAGACATTGTCCTATTGTCTGCGACACAAGTCAGTGATGACGTTTTACCAAATTATAGGAGTTTTTTTTAGTATGTTTGTATGAATACGATCGCTATTTTCTTGCTGTGATATAAGAATTTGAACTATAGGAACCAGTGTTATGGGGGGGTCGACTGTATTTCACAGTGCTGCATAAAGTTAATCCATGTCATTTTATCCTAAACCAAAAAATTAATTTACACATTTGTAAACAGTGAAGAGCCTCTGCTTCCGTGGTCGTGAAGGATGTGTGAAGACATTAAAATTTTTTAATTTGCATTTGATGTCTTCAATATCTTATTGGCGATGTTACATTCCAGTCTGAAAAAATACATAGTACTAAAACACTTTAACAATATCACCAAAACTTCTATTTAACTATTATTCCAAACAGTTTTGTGCATTAACGTTTGTTTTCTCCCTTTCAGTTGGTGTTCTACACTCCAGAGAAGGCGGGGAGGTATGTCTATACACTGTTTCTGATGAGTGACTGTTATCTGGGTCTGGACCAACAGTATGAAGTGTGCCTGAAGGCGACGGAACCTCCTGGTGCTCTGCCCTTTCGGATCGGGTATTCCGAATAGGCAAATTAAGGTGTATATGTATACTTACAGAGTAAATAAATTTTGGATAAAAAAGTTTGGTGACTAAACATCTCAACACATGTTGCAAAGCAACAGATATACCGATCGCATTTTAAGAACATCCTAGTTTTGGTTGAAAATTCCAGTGGGACGGCATCTCTAATTGCAACGGGTACAAATATCATTTCAGATACCATAGCATAATTGACAAGTACTTTAATATTACTTTTGCAAAATATTCTCTTCATTTTGTTTTTATCCATCATAGTGGAGATTTTGTGTTACAGCATCGTGATAATTCTAAGCTATATATTTTTTTTGGTGAAAATATTATGATATATTTGTTACTTTAAAGATTTTTAAAAACTAGAAATATTAGGTTGGATTAGACTAAATACAGAATAGGTTATTCTAATCTTAGAAAATTAGGCACAGACATAACAAGATAAAACTGGCACCTGACGTCTTTGCCTCACCAAGGTAAAAAGATTGCCAGTTCTGCCATAGTCTCATAATATACGTTTTGCTAACGAGATAAACCTTCGGATATGTACTTGAAATAAACGTTTCAAATTATCGTGCGTGTTTGTTTTTGCGTCCAACCAAAAGATATTTTCCCAATTAAAAATTTTAGTTTATAAAAATGGATATGCTATATTTGGCACCATTCTCACAAGAAAGAAACAAGAAAGCCAAGCTTGGCAATTCATTGGTTTGCAAATTTCTTACAAAATCAATTGTGATAGGATTTAAAAAACAAGCTAAATGGTATTATAAAGTATTAATTATTTATATAATACATAACTCCGGGATTTTTGGGCTGGAAAAAGATAGAGAAATTGACAATTAGACAGAATTTGTAGAAATGCAAAAGAATAAAGTTATTTGGGTTATGACTCATCAATTCTTTGTTAGTGCCTTGGTTATTTCATAAAAATATTCAAAATAACTGCAATAAAAAATAATTAGCATCTTTGTAGTCTTTTTAAAATTTAGTGTAGAAAAAGAAGACAACAGTTTATATTATTTAGTGAAAATTAAATCAATTTGAATGTTTGTTTATTTAAAATCGACATATTTTAAAAAGTTTAATAATTAATTAATTAACTAACTTTTTCATAATGTAAATTAATAATTGTAAGGTTAACACTTTTAAAAAATTTTGTTAGTAAATTAAAAATTTCTGAATTAAAGGTTTAATAAAACTAACAGCATTTGAGGTAAATAAAATATGTTTACAAAACATTAATATTACCTAAATTAGAAAATTACAATGTTTGCAATTCTCTAATTTTGACATTTGCGATGCATTTGAAATAATAATTTCTCAAATCAAATGTATTTCTAAATGTATGCTGTCTGATAAATTAGTGGGTTATTTAAGGTTAATCTAACTAAACGTACACGAATAAAGAATCTCCATTCACATAAAAGTCATTCCAGAGTTTTTATTTTCTATACACAAAAGACCATAAATTCCGTTATGATGTCTGGATGTGGTCAGAACATACACCGTCTCTTCGGCCGGAGCTTTAGTAAGATATTTACGACCATGTTATTCCTATAAGCCTGGTGAGATTTAACGGTTGAATGCAATGCGTAAAATTGTTTATTAAGATAACGACAATAATACCAATAAATTTCCTATAATAATTTACATTCAAGAATTCCGAATAATAATAATAATTATAATTATAATAATAATCGTTATACATAAGAGTATCCTATATATATACATATATTCTAGTTTAAAATGTTTTAATTATTGCAACATTACTGCCATAGCTAAATTTAAAACAAAGAAGCAGCTTTGTTTGGCATGCAACATGCATAAAAAATGATCACGCACTGACATTGATTACGGACAATTTGTATGACAAACTGTCTTCGTATTTATGGAATTGATGATGAAGAGAATTTTAGCTATTATCTACAATTATTCGATTTTTCTATTGCAAATATTCTTTTCCATCCAAATAGAAGTGTTTTTTTTTTTTAACAAATACCATGGAAGCATCATTAAAGTCTCTCCTTTTTTTCAAATAAGAGTCACTTTCCAATTTATTTTTTTTTTCCAGTTTACTTATTTACTGTTATGAAAGCAAATCTAGAAAAATGTAAAAAAAAGAAAAATATTTGTACAAAATGATTAATCAAATTAGTGAATAACTTTAGAAAGATCAAGAAAATGATTAGTCTGAAAAAATTATTTTTAAAATACCTGTTAATGAATTTTCTTGTTTTCTTGGAATGCTATCTTCAAATGCAATAAATGGGTTTCCCGGAATTCTGTTTATATTTACTTCGTCTGATTTATGTACAAGATTTGCTTCACTCTGGTTAGATGTGTCAATGCTAATGTCTATTAACTGATCGAATTCTGTCGTCGGAATCGAATTCGGAGCCGTACTTTGTAATTCGGAAGAAGAGGGAATGGTTCCGAAGTCAAGCAGTACGTCGACGGATACTTCAGACTTTTCTTCCGGACTAAATAAAATGGTTAATTATTATTTTAAAAAGTCTATAGATGTGAAACATATTCAATTCATTTTAATTACCTAATGCTATCTGTGAAACTTTTATCTTCATCTTGGTGGTTGTATCCGTTAGGCTGAGAAACAGCATCTAATTTAGTAGTCCTATTTGGAGAATTGTCAGTTAGAATTACACCGGAATCACTTTCTTTCATAGAAAATTCCGACGTATTGAGATGATTCTCTTTTTCATTATTGTCGATAGTCTTTTCGCCGTTAAACAAATAGTTTCCTTGAGAAAATGACTGTTCGACAAATGGATTGAAAATTTTAAATTCTTCTTGTATCCCACCGTTTAAAGAAGAAACGTTACTTGGCACAAATGCATCTATAATATCCGACTGTATAGAAGATTGTGCACTGGAATTATCACTTGATTTAACCTCTAGATTATCTCCTACTGTAGTTTCTTGACTACTAGCAGGGAGAGGTTTTTCTTCTTCTTCTTCTTCTTCTTCTTCAGGAGAAGAAAGTTTGTTTGTCTGAGAAGTTTCTTTAGCTTCAGATGGAGCACCTATCTTTCTGGTTCTACTCATTATCTGTTCCACTCGCTGTTAAAGAAAGAAAAAAAAAAGTATAAAATAGCATGATTTAAACTGAAAACTGACAAATATGATACCATATTGTTTAAATATATTTTAACTTAAAATACATTGTGACTTAAAATAAACTGTTGCATACTATGTTGAAGAATAAATGGAAGATCCACCACTGAACAAGTAGAATCTGTACTGAACAGTTTGAGGTTAAAGTAATAATGCCAGTTAGTCAATAATGGCTTACACTGAAACAAAAATACATTTGCAAAAAGATTTAGAAAGAAAATCCTCCAATGCAACAGATGAATGATATATAAGTTGTCGTATACATGTATAAAACTATAAACATAACCACACCATTAAGGTATCCAAAATGAAGAATCGCAGAACATAACAACATGAGTGCTTTCAAGCAAATATTGTCTCCAGAAATGACAATGTATAAATACATATTACAAAACTCATTACTGAACAATTGGCACAAAATAAAATCAAAATTCTGAGATGCAATTGTATGGATTTGGTAATTGATGACTCTTTGGCATAATATAGTGTTTAATTTGAACACAGAATAATATTTTGAGTACATAATAAAAAAGACAATTGAACAAATGTGTTCCAGATGTAAAAGAATGAAATAATTTGTTAGAGCTCAGAAGATTAACTTTGATTAAATTCAGTTCTCATCCCAAGAGTTTAATTCTTTCATAATTTATTAAAATACTACATACAATTAAAACTAAAATTTACAAATCACATTTATATTAAAAACCTGGCAAAATTTAAAATTGCTTATGATGCCATCTGTTACGAGATTTTGTTAAACTTTTTATATAATTAATTATTATAAAATGGCAAAAAGCTTAATTTGAATGTAGGGACAAGTTTTATAAAAAATTGTAAATGCTAATAACAAGTGAAATCTTCATTAAGTCCAACCCCACTCAAGATGTGATACACTAGCTCCCACCTCTTCAACCTTTAACCACCAAAATCCAATAGCATCAATCCCCTAATACACAAATCTTTCTGCAAAATTTCAGAAATTTTCAATAAAAAAAAACAGATGTTATTAAGTTTCAAAGAGAACAAAATCATACCACCCACACCCACACACCAACATCCATGAATACAGAAAAATCCCAAATTGTTATAACAGAGCCAAGTAAGTGCAAAATGAATATACTGTATATATAATAAGGATACAAAACCTTTTAATTTTAATTTAAAGAGTTAAATTAAAAATGAGTGTTTTGATCTAATACAAAATTATGCGAGTGAAATAATTTTAGCAAAAAACTAAAAATAATTTATTGAAAAATTATTATTATTTAGAAAAATCAAAATAAATAAAGACCCTTTTTCTTTCAGCTCTCTCAGCCTCTTCTTTTTTCAGGCGTTCTTCTAATTCTAATCGTTGTCTTTCTGCTTCTTCTCTAGCTTTTCGTTCCATTTCCTCTTTTTCAAGTCTCTAAAAAATTTTGTAATAAATAAATATTAAAATTAAATAATTATTTAGGTACAAACTTTTAAAAATAATTTAACAAATAATTTGTTATCCGATTCTAATCAACTGGTTATAAATTCTTATTCTTCAACTGCAATTTGAATTATCTGACAATATCCATAACATCACTTTAGTTAAGTCCAGTTATATGAAATTATACAGTTTATTATTTCTATCAGAAAATAATTAGGATGTTTATACTTTATCTAACTAACAATTTTTAATAGAACAACCAAAGTTGTTTCAATGTCAAAATTAATAAAATTATTAAGAATGATAATGAAATGATAGAATTTCTGTTTCTCACTAATAAAATACAAAAATATTTATAGTTACCAATCTCATTTCTTCTTCCTGTCGTTCTCTTTCTTCTTTTTCACGCTGTTCCTGTTCTTCAATAGCTTTTCTTAATTTTTCCTCTTCTTGAAGTCTATGTATTTCTGCTAATTTGATCTGTTCTTCTTCAAATCTCTTCTGTTCTTCCTCCTCTTTTCTTTTTAATTCTTCTTCTTCTTGTCTAAATGTAATTTATATTAAAAATTTTATTAAAATAACAAAACATTTCCAAGATGTAAACAGAAAAAGAAATTTAAAATATAGCTAATTGAGAATGATGGGCAACAACTAAAATATATTTTGAACAACAAAGTGTAATGTAATTAGTAGAGCTGAAAATTTTTGCTTTTTGCGAATTTCTCAGATATATTTGCCTGGAATGAGCATCTTTCAATTAGTACTAATTTAAAAATCCGGTCTCAATATCACTAAGATTTTTTGGCGAAAATCGCCAATTTTCATCCTAACTGGCAAATTTGGTGATAGGTGGCAAAATCGTCAGTTTCCCATATGCTTTGTGCAAAAATGTCTAGAAAACAGTCAACTGAGTTTAAAATTGATTCCGTGATTAAGGAATTAGGTGGCAATATATTTTGCCATACAAAAAAACAATTCTCTGTGTTAAGTGCTCTACATACGTCAACTATGAACATGATACAATTAAGAAACGACTTTCAGAACATCTCAATAGTGCAAAACACAAGAAACATAACATGATACAGTCACAAACACTGTTGTTTGAAAATGGAAGCAATTTTGATAAAGAAATGGTTGAAGCATTCACCAATGCAGATATTCCACTTGAAAAATTAAATAACAAAAAACTGAGATTGTTTCTCGAGAAATATATGAAGAAGCCAATCAAAACTGTTCCAGGTATTTTTTTTATTGTAATTAGTTTTTTTAATGAAACGTTTATTTTATTGAAATTGATGCTGCTGTTCACGATTGTGCTCGTAATTTAGCTGAAATACGATTTTATTTGAAGTCTCATTGTGTTACTTTTTTTAGCACTGCGGGCAGATCAAAAAACTATCTCCAACTCAGTAACAAAAAATTAAGGACAAAATTAATGGACATGATGTCTATTTCATTGTTGACAAAACTAGTGACAAAGTGCAATGTAAAGTGGTCAACATGCTTGTAGGAAAATTGAATGACGAGAAAGCAAAATCAATGTTAATTGATGTGACATTTCACTCAACAGTTGACAACATTATAATACAAGAATGTATACTCAACATGTCTAGAAAATTGTGGCCAAATGATTTAAAATATTCAAAACTGAAGTTAATAGTGACAGATTGAGCAAAATACATGACGAAGGCAGTAAGTGAGATTAAGAAACATTCATTGATTTTTCCAAATGTACATCACGTCACATGTTTCGCTCACACCTTGCATAACGTTGCATTTAGGATTCAGAATGAGTACAAATTAACAAATTTGCTTATATCAGAAATGAAGAAGTTTTTTGTGAAGTTAAGAGAAAGACAAAATTATTTTAAGAATGCAACTGGAGTTAGTAATCTACCTCCAGAACCAATTTTCACTCGCGGCAGGTCTTGGTTAATCGCTGCAAAGTACTATGTTGATAATTTTGATACTGTCGAGTGCTTCATTTTGAACTACAGTAGAACCTCGATTATCTGGACCTCTATTATCCGGATTTTTGATTATCCAGATTGTTCAAAATAAACAAAAATTTTACGAATTTGCTGATTTGCACTTGGCGAATTACGATACTGTTTATGTACGTGATGGAATGCATAACTTTTTTTGTTTCAACAACGTCTCATCCAGCACAGTGGTCATAAACTCTTAAATATACTTTACATCATAACAAAAATATAACTTGACATACTTATTTATAAATAATTTATATTCAAATTACATCATTTCTATGACCAAGGGCAGTGTAAGGCATGGGCAACGTGGGCCACCGCCTATGCCTGCCGGTCCGAAGGGCCTTGCGTTTCGAAGGTTTATGCATTACTTAAAAGTCGCGAACATGACGAAAAAATTTTACTCATCATAAAACGATAAATAGTTTGTCAAATTTTTATTCATAAAAATGCAGTTTCAACTGCTTTTTATTTTATAAAATCCGTCTTCTTGCGCCACCAGAAGGCATTTTAAACAATAGGTAGTCTGTTAGCGCTGGTCAGTAGTAGTCCAAACTCAATACAAACATTTGTTTCTTGAAAATTTGAATACAGTATTTACTTTTAATATTACCGATATGTCATCGAAAAGAAAACGTGCTATATTATCATTAAAAGACAAATTAAAGTATTTGTTTCGATTATCCGAATTTTTCCTTATCCGGACTACCTTCATCCCTAATTAGTCCGGATAATCGAGGTTCTACTGTATAAACAAAAATCTCATTCAAATGCTAGAAATGTTTTGGTGAAACTATTGCAAGAGAAGAAAGTTAACCTCAAGAAAGAATTATTTGATCTCCGTAATCTCGTCAAGCTATCAAATATAATATCACTGGAAGAACAAGGACTCAGCATAACTAAACAAGTCGAACTAATTGAAAATGCAAAAGAAATTGTTTCTGGTTATCCTATATTTTCTCAAAAATTGGAAAATGTTTTGTCAAGCAATCCTGATCTTATCAAATTTACATCTTTTGATATGAATTTAAGTGATAAAGTTAATAGCGAATACACTCCTTTAGTTGCAGTCGACATTGGACGTTCATTCTCATTATATTCATAGATATTAAGTGATTGATGTCATAGTTTAAGCGAGGATTATTTGAATATCTAAGTGTAATTTGTTTTAACTCGTTTTTGAAATAAATAATTGGTGATTTAGCCCAAAAACTGGCAAAAACTTTTGGCTCTAGTAATTAGTCTTTATTATCTATTCTACTTGAAATGTGGCATAGACAGCTTGCATTAATCATAAAAATTAACATGTATTTGTAATTAAATCACTTCTTAGAAAATTAAAGCTTCAATTATTCTTGTTCAAAATTTGACAGAACACTGTTGATAAATTCAAAATTGGAGTGATTATTTCTATTTAAAATGGCAATTTTTAATTATTGGAATTAATTTCACAAACTAAGCAAATTAAATGTTTCTGTATACTGGGATGTTTCATTATGGGAGGATCTATGATTTTCAGTTATCTAATTTTATGAATATGTTCTCACATTACACATGATAAGTCTATTCCAAATATGGCCTTAAATGTTACTAAAAATATAGTTTACCTCAATATACTACATTGTTATATACTACATATATATGTGATTTATATAAAATAATCATCTGTAATAACAAATGACAATACTGATTTACAACTAAAATAGGCACAAAGTTGAGTTAACGTAGTCTTGTTTGCTCTTCACGCTGCTCAGAAATTCATGTGTATTAAAATGTCAGTATAGACATGGTACTACATGTCCTTCCTACTACTCTGGTTTTAATTTTGGAATGGTGTATAGTCTTTTGAACTACAGAAAGTTGAGCAAACAATGTCCAGCAGCTGAATATTCTATAAAGCTACATTTACAAAGATAGTTATCCACTATACTAAAGAATGTGTTTACAGATATTTCAATATGATACTAGGGATCTGGTAAATTCCATGCTTGTGCATATTGACATAATCTTGTTAAAACATTGATTGTGTGATAATTTTGTCTGTCGTCTGGTCATGTGGTCATTTGCCAACTGGATCACTTTCGGTTAACCGATGTTTCAGTTGATCAGTATTTGGATAATCAATGCTCTACTGTATTCACAATAGTTGAAATTGTTGGCATTTGTTACTTCAACTACATGCTAGATATACTGTAGAAAGTACTATAAAAACCATAAAAAAAAACAACAATAAATAAATTTCTATTAATTAATAAATCTTCAAGCTATACATTTTTTAATTTCTTCAGCATTTCCATTGGATATCAGTCTCGATAAAACCAGAATTTTTACAAATTGTAATTATATTTACTTACTCTGCTTAATGTTATCTATATTGGCAAGTACCAGATTGATTATAGTAAGTGGATTCTACCATATATTCAAATTAAAAACATTAACCAAAAACAAATATCTAGTTTTTTACCTGATTTTTTCAAGTCTTTGTCTTTCCAATTCTGCTTCTCTTTCAGCTTGTTCACGAGCAATGCGTCGTTTTTCTGCTATAGCTGCTTTAGCTTCTTCTTCTGAAGTAATTCGTGATTTCGTATGAGATAATGGACTGGATGCAGTTTCTGGAGTATTTTCTTTATTATTTTCAGATTTTTGCAAATCTTCAGCTTCTGGTTGCTATTTAACAATTTAAATTTTATGAGTTTAGATAATTGACAGAAATTATTATTTCAGAATAGTGATTATTAATGGTAAGTTGGACTATTAATACCTTAATTTCAATATAAATTATTTTAAATCATTAATTATATTGTCTTTTTTGATAAAAAAATTAATTAACGACTTAAAATTTCAGCTATTTATTGGTATTTAAAATAAATATCTTCTATTCAAATCAATTAAAACCCTTTCACAGCCCTTATGGAAAATTATTTCTTGTTTTTTGAAGCCACCTTGCAAAGATATTTCATAAAAATATATTTGACTAAAAAAAAAAATACTAACTTAATTTATTATTTATATTTCTATTTATATTATTATTTATATATCTAAGCGCTTTATCTCTTAATAAATATCCAAGACTAATAAAGTGATAAAAACTATTATTTTCAATATATTTAACAATTTATTTTTAATTACATATACATTATGATTAATATAAATTTATAAGCAAGACAGATGCAAATTTACAAGCTAGAAATTAATTTGTGAAAACTACATCTAAGTTTCCACAAATGAATCTTTTCTTGTATCCTTATATATTTCATTTCACTTCTCAAAAATTTAGCATTTAAAAAAAGAGGAGAAGATAACCAATGAAAGTAATTTACCTATGTTTAATGGCTGGAAAAAACCCATTATTAAACTGTTAAAGTTTAACAAATAGAACAATTATTTTTTATATTCTTCTTGAATATTTTTAGTATCTCACATAGAAATATATAGAGCACAAAAACATTACATCCGATTGAAGTTTTGGTAAGAAAATAAATCACAAAAACCCAGATAAATGATTTAGGGAACAATCATTTATCTGGCAACTTGCAATTTAACCATCAACAAACTACCAACATCAACAAATGCTACCAAGCCTTTAATCAGATATTATGTTTCCATGTTACACTAAATCCTTAAACAATAAGCAAAATTGGAAAATATAAATTACTCAGTTTAAAAGTTATGATTGCACTCATTGCTTAACAATATGCTCTTATTTCAACACAGAGATATTTGCTAAATTTCATAAAACACCACATATTAAAATTAATATCACTAATGACATATCACGCATACACAGTATATATTATTCAAGGCTTGTGCTAGACCTAATATATTCTGAGTCATTTGACTTGTGGATAATACTGTAGGAATGCAAGTCATACAAATTTTAAGTTTCTTTTCTGACAGTCTTTGATTTCATATAATTAAATGCATATTTATAATTAAGTTTGATTCAAATTGCTACTTACAACAATATAAATTTTAATTTAAAATATAACAGAGGAGAATGTTATAAGATTAAAAAAAATCTTTTTCTCTGTCATACATTCAAGTGCTTCAACAGCTTTGCATTTGGAAACTGAAAAACTGATGAGCCATTTAAGGTGACTTTCATCAAGGTTTTTAGATTATCCTCTTTCAAGTAGCTTCATCGAGAGCACTTTCTCCACTTCTCTGCATTAAATGCTCTCATTTGAAGTATGCTCAATGATAAAGCATGACAAGCATGATGTGGTTGTTACAGTACATTTATTAATCATGATTTCAAATTCACTTAAGCTTTTAATTTCTTTACATTTTTACAAATTTTTAAATTTACAAGTATTAATTGTAAAATGTCTTAAATTATTTTTCATTTATTTTTCATTCCTGCTACTTATTTTGCTGTGTCAATTCAGCAAGTTAATCCATTCCTAGAGGTCATTTGTTGTGTGTTAAATACCTTTAATCAATATATATAATAAAGGTAAGTGTACAATGTGCGTGCCACTAAAACTCAAAAACAAGTCCCAGTAAGATCAAGGGAGTTATATGGTGTGGTAGCCCTTTATCCCCCATCCATGAAGAAGGTTCCCGTTTTTATCTGAAGGATGTGCTGTTGAAGCTATAAGGGCTGGAAGTTTCACCCTCTACAAATTTCTAGAACAGTCCAGAACATTTGAGAGTATTCGAGAGAATCCCACAACATTCCAGAATGTTTTGGGATGGTCTGGAATGTTCGGGAACATCCCACATCATTCCAGAACACTCTCGATTGTTGTGGAATGTTCTGGAACATTCTGGACCATTCGAAGCCTTTTTTGTATGGGTGGGACTACCCATTGGTGGGGGTATATAAAGCAAGATCCGTCGTGGGTTCAAACGTCAGTTTTTTTATCAGCGACAAAGGGAAGAACTGGAAAAGTAGTGAAAATTCCAAAGTAGTGTAGTGAGTGAATAAAAACAAAGTGAAGTGTGAGTAGTCAAAGTGATACATGACTGAATATAAATCGAAAATAAAGTGTGAAAATTGTGTAAAGTGTACTTAGTGTATTTATTAATTAAAAGTTGATTTGATTTATATTTTATACAATGCCCAAACTTGAAAGAGGAGGAGCTCTTGCCAGTTCTGAATTTTCTTTTGAATATTAAAGTAGATATCGTCGACAATATTATTTTTAGTTGCCAAAATTGCACTTTGAAATAGCCACTCTGAATAATAATAATAATAATAATAATAATAAGCGTAGAGCTCAACCGGTTAGGAGTTTGAAATTTTGTACACGGTAAAGGTTGAAATTTGGTACAGTACATAGTTAGGGTGCATCATGAGAACATACACTAAGAAGGAATTTTTCGAAATTCCCCCCGCGGGAAGAGGGTGTTAACAATGAAAGTGATTAAGTAACAATTGAAGTGTTAAGAGAAACCGATGTGCAAGATTTACAGGCGCAGATGTGGTTTTTTGCATTTTTGCGAGAAATCAAAAATAATTTTAGACCCATCTAAAAATTTTCTAATTAGTCTGGAAACAGGGCAACCTAATTCTTGCATTCTGAGAAAAAGGGTAAGATTGGCTATAATGTAATAATCTTAATCTTTGCTATTGTTACTTTTTCCCGGGCAAAGCTGGGCTCATCAGCTAGTTACTTAATAAAACAAAAATAACTTGATTAAATCATCATAAGATTACAGTCAAAATTCTGTTTGTCTACTTATTCTGCTTAATGTTATCTACATCTAATAGTACACTTACTGTTAATAAACTTTCACCTATCAGTAATTTCATTAAATTTAGATAATTAAACTATTCATCAGAGAAAAATTAGTAGTCCAAAAAGTCATCTAAATAAAAAAAAAATTGCAAAAACTATCATTTGAATTACTCAAAAGTTAGCCCAATTCCCAATTATTCACATAATCTAACAACCTGTATGTGTTTGGACATTGTCAACTGCTGTTACTGCTGACAGTGAAAAATCAGTCAAGTACATTTAGTATATTGATTATAGTGAGTAAATTGAGAAATCCTTAAACTTATGCTGTTGGGAAATATTGTAAGTCAAAGATTACTTGCAAGTAAACTTTTTCAAGTCAGATTCAAGTCAGAATTTCTCAAAATTTCAGAAGTCTAGGAAATTTGCAAGTAAATTCAAGTCCCTGTTACTTAATATATACTATAAAAAGATCAAACAGTTTTTATTAGTTTTATATTAATTTTTCCCCTACCAAAAATTGCATGTGATAACTTTCCTGAATGTACATATTCTTATTTTTAATATATTTTAATTTTTCACTTAAAAAATATTTATTGCAATATATTTAAACAAACCAATTAGTAATTCATTACTTAATGCTTCTAGTCCTTTAAATATTATTTTATTGATATTAGTCTATTGTGACTATATAATCTATTAATAGGATTTATTATACTGATTCAATTTGAGGATGAAATTAGAGATTGAATTAGTCTATTGGTTCAAAAAAAATAAACAAACTTTCTTTATTTGCACCTGAAAGTTTCTTCTTTTGAACCAATAGACTTATTCAATCTCTCTAATTTAATCCACAAGTTAAATCAGTATAAATCCTATTAATAGACTATAGTCACAACAGACTAATATTGATAATAATAAAATCAGAATTATAATCTATTAATTGTTTTAATAATAATAAAACAATTAGTAGATTATGTTTATAACTCTGATTATACAAATTGCTTCAAAAATTTAAATAAGCTTATTTAATCAACACAAATGAATTTGAACAAGTTGCAACTGAGGCTTCACCAATGTTTGTTAACATGAATTACTGATGTGAAATCAATAGGTCTTTGTAACTGTATACAACACACCAAATTTAAAAAAAAATTTTTTGAAGCATTGTGAACAACAGAATATATATCCTTAACAGAATTATTAGATACTTACTACAGTTTGATTGTTTTGAGCTACATTAGTATCAGCAGAAACCTGTTTCACTTTTGAAACTTTTTGACTGGCTGCCGGTTTTCGAATTACAGGTGTCTGAGATTTATTTTCATCTGTTTTTTCACAGCTTTTAGCACGAATGTGCTTTGCATTTGGAGTAATAGCTATAAGAACATTAAATATATGTCAAAATAATTAATATGTAATTTATAATATAAAATAATACAATATGCAATTGATGAATTTAAAATACTTCAGATATTTCATATGGAAAAGTATGTAATCTAAAATTATTATTATTTATAACATTTCTTCTAAACAATGAAAATTTACCTTTTCTTTCTATACTTCGTCCTTTTCGATTTTGTTGCTGATCCACATTTGGCAAAAGAACAGAAGGAACGCCTCCAATACTTACTGGTCGCTGTCGTTTTGGACCAGTTCTCATTTTTACACTCGTTACCGATGCTTGGCTAGATGCTATTGATTGTTCCGAAGTTGCAGACATTGAGCTACGTGGTCGAGACGGTACATCTTTCGTTGATGCTGCTACCAATTTATAAAAAATTTATTTATTATATTACATAGACAATATCAAAAATTTTACAATTACATCACAAGTATGTTATATTTACTATATCAGTTATATGATCACCATTACAGAATGTAAGGCTCTATAACCGCTATTACAATTATTATTGATGTTTTAATTATTAAAGTACATTTCTAAATATAAAAACTTAAGATTAAAAAAAATTGAAAAATTTATTTTCTTCAGTTGATATAAAACAGACAAAGCCTATTTCATCTATAGTATCCATACCATATACAGCAAATAGTTTGCTTAACCTTCAACAATGGCCCCAAATAAATCAATAAAAATTATTTTAATGGTTTATAACAGAATACCATCACAATTCATTAAAGATCAATTTAGATAAAATATATAAATTATATTTATTTATTAGATATTAAATAATTAAGTTATAAGAAAACTTGATATTATAGGAATACAAGCAGCCATCAGTTGATGACTAAAATAATTAATCATTTAGAATAATTAAAGTTAGAAATGTGTGGAGATAAGAATCAAGATTCAAATTCATGTCTTTTATTTGTGAATTATAATTTTTAGTGGACTTCGAACTCACATTTGAGTTATAAATAAACACTTGGCTTTATTTCCATTATTTTAGTTGATACGTGACAACAGCACATTTCGGGCATAAAGCCCCTCATCAGTCAAGTGTTTATTTATAACTCAAATGCGAGTTCGAAGTCCAATATATTCGCAAAACACGGTTTCGAAAACAACATACATAATTTTTAGTGTTTAACATGAAAATACTGAACTCTATAAAAATAAGAAATGATGAAAGAATTTAGGTAGATAAGATAATGTTTTAAGAGATAACTCTTAAAACATTATATGAAAAATGAAAATAAGAAGCTAATTTTTCTGTAATGATAGTTTTCATTCAGCTTCATAGTAGCTTTAGAAGAGAAGATATTAATTCATAAATCTGGCATATTATTTAATAGCAATAAAAATAATGTTATAGAAAAAACAATTTGTTTACTTTAGTAAATCTGTGTACATTCCTCACTTTTCATAGATATAATTTTTTTAATTGAAGAAAACAATGCAGACTGAATTGTTTGTACAGTAGGAAAATTTGTGTAAGAAACAGAGCATTTAAAAAACTTCCCGTGGAATATGTTCCACAGAACAGTTTTAACTAACAAATTTCAAGATGTTTATTACAAATTAAAGAATAAACACATTAATAACAAATATAAAATACCCAAAATGCTACAGAAATTTCATTTTCAATTATTTCTAAATATATTTTATTTTGATGTACTACAAAGAATAAAGTTACTTATTATCAGCTTGTATTATGACTGATAATAGCTATGAAATTTAAAGGTAGAGTTATATTTCCAATCAATTATTCACTTTTTATCTGATTAAAATAAAATTAATATAGAAATTTATCATCATATTTTAAAATTACATTACTTATTAATTAATAATGATAATTTAAGAAAGAATAAGCCGCATTTAAAATTACATATATTGATACATTTAATAATAATTAATAATTACACATAATAAATATTAATTATAAATTAGAAATAGATTATTCACAAGAGAAATATCACAAGCAAAAAAATATTCATGTTAATCACAACGAACATACTCATAAGCAGACAAAATAGTCAAAAACTAAACTAAATGAAGCAATGTTAGAAGAAGAAAAGTTGCTATTTAAGTTAACAATAATATGTTCTATTAATTTAGACAAGTCAAAACAGAGCAAACAACAAATAATCAAGCAGTTTACAAATAATGTTTGCACAGTATGCATCACTTAATTTTTCATTACTGCATTACGAGTTTTCATTTTATCTTTAAATATTTTTATATAGAAACATGATATTTATTATAGACTATTGTAATATAGTTGACTCAGGGAAAGGCAAAAATTACAGTAAAATATATTTGCCTATATATTTCGAACTATTTAANGGGGGGGTCACCACCTCTTCATTCGGAGGGTAAATCTTACCATTGGGACTTTAACAGAGCTGTACAGCATATTGATAGGAACAAAAAAGTCAAAGGAACTGTGTCTCATGGAAATTTGTGAAGAACGCCCACTAGTGTTCTTCACAAATTTCCATGTACTAGTAGTATAGAATATTAACAACTAGTAGAGGGCATCCCGGGCTACTAGTTGTTAATATTCTATACTATCTGCATACTATGTACTGTACATTAAAAAAAAGAGGGAATTTATTAATATCTTATTAGTTTAACAATTTTCTTACAGTTTAAGATTTTATACTGGAAGAATTATTAAAGATTTGAGTTGTTAAATATTTTATTATTGTAATCAGTATTATTATTATTGTTTATAATAAAATATATTATAATAATATTAGGGCAAGTCAAATGAAAGTGAACCAATTTTATTTACAAACTATTACCTGTAAATCAAAAGTAATGATCCTGGTGATTCCATGCTGAGGGAAATCCTTTTGTTTCTGCTTCAGAAGTCAATGACTATTTCCTGTCTACATCCAAGAATATAACCGCTAATTCAATAATCCACCCTACAATCCAGACCTTTCACCGTGTAACCTTCACGTGTTCAGCAAATTATTGAAGAAGCACTCAGAGTTGCAGTTTTGCCTTGGATGCAGAAGTGCTGGAGATGGCTACAAACTTCCTGAAGCAGAAACAAATGGATTTCTATGAGCATAGAATCTGGGCACATTACAAAGTGGGGTAAATGCCGGAATGCCAGTGGTCATTATTTTTAACCTACAGGTAAAAATTTGCAAATAAATTACATTGGCTCATTTCCATTTGAATCATCCTAATATGTAGACACCAATACACTATGTATCTATATGTAGAATAATAAATAAGACAACAAGAATGATAAATGTTAAAATTTAGTTTCCTCGTTAAAATTAAATACAAAACATGAAAGTGTATTTTTGTGTTTAGAATCTAAAACTTCTAAAATTTTTAACAATAGTGTATGCAAAGTAAATTACTATTAATATAAAAAGCATTCAGTCAGATAGGTTTATCACATTTTTAATGTTTAATAGATCAACAATATGATAAACCTATAAAATTGCATATAATTAAAGACAATTTTTTTTTTATATTTGAAATTATATACAACACGCTTTGTATAGTAAGAATAAATCACTCCATGAAAGATTAAAATTTTGAATTTTTATTCTGTAATTAACTGATTAGAGAATGATAAACATCTACAGTTACATAAATTTAGTTTTTTTCTTAATTTTGTGTAGATAATTTTTGTTGCTATTAGCTTAATTATATATACATTTGAACAAATCAATGTATTATAAATATTTATTACTGAGTCATATAAATTTGTTTAAATATGTATTAATAATTTATTTTCAAATTTTTCCATAACAAAATATTATATAAATTTTAAAAATTAATCAAATACATCCAATTACAAAAGATGACAATTAACCTTCTATTTTTAAATTTTTTCTATATAAATCTATAAAACTTATTACATATGTTTTTATGAGATTTTGCAAAAAACTTTTTTAAGTATCATATTTTTAATTTTCAAATTACTATTTATTCCAGAACGAAAACATACACCAATACCAAGACAAGATGCACATTGTTTGTTATGTATTTTATCATTTTGTACTATATTCAATATACGATATACAATGTGCACTTGTGTGTAAATGTATCTACATACAAATGAATACATAACTTGAAGACTTTCCTCTTGCACATGTTTCTTGATTTATTTACTACTTTTTTATATTTTTTAAGTGACAAATTTGATTTCATCTAAACAAATTTATTATAGGATTAGAAGACTTTTCGTACTCAATTGTCAATAATAGTTTAGCATATATTAACTATGAAATTTATTAAAATAGCATAATAAACTTTCTGGCAAAAATTTAAAGTGATTATGGTTTGTGAGTTGGCAGTATTTTCCATTTGTTACCTTTCAGTTAAAGAAATAATTGTATTTACACAATGGGACAAAAATGCCTAGTGAATCAAGTTTGTAATAATGCAAAATATCTACTGCCATTGTATTATAGAGCCTTATATTATAAATTAAGGTATCAATATTTGTTATTTATAACATATTAACAGCTAAGGAGATAAAAATTTTATCTTACAATATTTTAAAATAAATTTCATTACTTAAAAAACTTGTATTTTTTTTCTCTNTCATAGTTACTTTATTTTTTCAAATCTACCATATATTTGCACTGAAAATATTTTTATATCCATCATGTGTTCAGTCAAGTCCACGATGGAATAGTCAAATTCATGATGAGCACAGATAATAATAAGCTTAACATATATGAACTGATTCAGATATGTTAAGCTTATTTCTGAACTGATTCAGATATGTTAAGCCTATTTCTGAACTGTTCCGTACTCAAATATAAAACATTATTCAACAATAAAACTCAAATCTCCAAATCAAAAATTTTACTAGAAAGACAACAATAATTAAAAAAATAATTCTAAAGATATACGTACACACAACATAGTGATAATTATTAACGAAAAGCTACAATAATGAAATCTAAAATTTTCCAAACAAATGATTATAGAATTCATTTTATTCAAGAATGCAAGAAATGTCACTGTTAGAAATATCCTATTTACTTGAATAATCTGTGCATTTTTTCCCAAAAAATCATGGTAAAAAATTGGAGTATACAGTTTATTCAAAACAAATTTAGTGATGCAATTCATGATGTCCAGGGAGTTTCCAGTTACTAAGCATTCTGTTACACTTTGTATACAATGTATTAAACTAGGTGACCGTTTACAGTGAACAGTTATACAGTGAACAGTCATCTACAGTGAACAGTTATGAGTAAATTATTATTAATGTTTTTGTGCAACTCATTTCATGAAAATGAATGTAAATAAAGTATAATTGAGACTAAACAGTTATCTTTATATTAGGTTGGGGAAAAAGAAATCCATTATTTTTACG